CATTATAAGCATAATAGTCTCTAAGTTTGATCTTTGAAACAATATTTCACTTTGCAGTATTTTTGAATGAAAACCTTTCTAGTTCACTGTATCATTGCCAGCAGGTTATCACTATTGTATATTTTACTAAGCCACTGGAATACAGAAAATTATAAAAAGATGGGTTAAAAAAAAAGGAAAATGAGATATCTAAAAATATTTAAATAGACAACAAGAAAATAAAAAGGTAAAAATTGAAAAAAAATTTCTAGTTTCTTTCAAAAATCCACTTTTCAAGACCTTTTTTTAATAAGAAATATCTGATTGAGATATTCTTTCTTTTCTTGACCATCTGAGAAACTTATCCATTCTTGATTTTAATTTTCTTCTTGTGTACTATTTGAGAAGACTTATCATCTAGCGGAAGTCTTTACTTCTAGAACACACTTGATTCCAATCTTCTTTGAGTAGTTATTTTTATCCATCTGAAATTAAAAATTTGGTATTAATTTGGTTAAAAATTTATTTAATATATTATTTATTTTTTTAAATAAAAAATACTAAAATATATATAATAATTAATAATTATATATATATTTATATAAATAGAATGAAAAAATAAAGATTTAAATAATATAAAAAATTCTTTTTATTGATTTTTTATTTATATATAAAAAAGATATTTATATGAAAATTTTTTATTTCTTTGCTAATAAAATTTTAATATTATCTTTAAACCAACTTAAAATTTTATTTCAAGAGATATTCTCAAATCTTTTTTATTGTTTATATTTATCTTCAAAAAAAAAACTTGGCTTTCTGTGATCTAGAAAAGTCAAGAAATATCTTTTTTATCTATAACAAGAAAGTTTTATAAAAAAGAAAAATCAATAATATAATATTTAAAGCTTTTCATATTGATATATGTCTATAAAGATTTTTGCAATAAAAGATAACAAATATCAAATTTTATTTTCAAAGTGTCCATCTACTGTATCTTCTTTTTTATAGTTATCTAAATTTTTTAATTTTCTGAAAAATTTTATTTACTTTAGTTTAATTCTAAATTTTAAATAATATAATCTATTATAAAATATAATTGATGAATATAAAACATATTGAAAGTAGAATGTAACCAAGTATTTACTGATTATTTTACATATTTCAATAATATCATTAGTAATAGAAAGAATTGATTGGTATTCCATTTCTATTTTACTTTTTCAATTGAATTAATTTATAGATTATGTTCTATAAAATCAATAAGATATAAATAACAAGTTTTTAGGTGATAAAAAATTTGTTATTTATTTAAGTTGAGATCTTTCTTTCTTATTATTTTGATCAGGTAAAGTTCAAGACCAAGATCTTTTTTTTATATTGATTAGATAATAAAATTAAATAGTTTCTAGCTCATGCTAAGCTTCAATTCTTTAGTTATAATTAAGAATATATTTCCTTAGTAATTGTTAAAGAATATCTAATTAATGAAAATTCTTTTTACTATTAATCTTTTTACTATTATAAAATCAAAAAATTGTAAAAAATTCAACTTTTTAATTAATGACAATAAAATTTTTTTAACTAGATATGATTATTGTAATAACATTGCACAATTCTTACTAGATTATATAAGAACCTGAAATTTATTATAAGTTATCTATTTACTATAGATGAATAAAAAATTATTGCCTAAAGAAGGTTAGAATTAATTGTATCATTAAAAATATAGATTTTTACTAGTAATAAGTCTTCTTAGATAATATATAAGAAAAAAATCAAGATTAAAAATAAATAGATTCTTTAGATAGTTAGGAGAAGAAAAGATATCTCAATTGAATATTTTTTATTGAAAAGAAGTCTTGAGATATAGATCTTTGAAGAAAGTTACAGAATTTTATCTTATTTTTTTCTTTTTATTTTCTTATACATTTATTTGAACATTTTTAATTATATTCCTTTCTTTTTTTTTCAACTCATTTTTTTATAGTTTCTTATATTTCAATGGCTAATAGGATATTCAATAGTAACAATTTATTGATAATGAAGTAATAAACTAGAAGGATATTTATCCAAAAACAATTATAAAGAGAAATATTATCCTTAAGATCAAACTTAAAGGTTATTATTGCTTATAATGAGTTTGTTAGATTTGATAGAAATGTTTAACTATAGTATATATCATGCTACTCAAGTGAAAATGTACTTATGTTTTCAATTAATTAATAAGCTATAATCTAGCCTGGCTGCGATTATTCAAAAAAAAAAAAAAACTAATAATATATAAAGATATATTAGTTATTACGTAATAATATTATTGTAACATTAATATAGTTTCAATTATTATATAATAAAGATGAGTTAAGATATGATTCTAGATTAAATGATGACAATTATTAAATCTTTTTAACTAATATTCTTATATAGCATATTATTTTTAGAAATTTGATTAAATAATAAAATTAATTTGAATTAATTGATTTTTAAATAGTAACCTACAGTAATTGAAATTGGTTATAAATATTAAAGTCAATAAAAAACATTCTAGTTTCTTATAATAAAGGCACATAAAAAGAAGTTGGTGCATTTAAATCGTACAGTTACTAATGTAATTCTTCGTTATATTCATTGTAAATTTAATTAGTTACTTGCTAATAGATTTTAAAACAAAACTCAAGATTACATGATTTATACATGAATATTTGTGATTTGTTAAAAGATAGTAGTGTATTTATTATCGAAAATTATGCATTCCTTTTTAATAGGTTGTAATTCGTAAAGTATCAGCATACATTCACTAAACAAACTCTAATTTTGATGCATGACCATTTTATTATGATTTAACGAAGATTATATTCTCACCAATTCTTTTAAGCGAGATTGATCCCCCATAATGTAGAAAATTTTTATAAATTACATTCTTTACATTAATCAACGACTCTTTGCTGCAACTTTTACTTGAGCACCACGGGCTTGGTGTTTAGAAACTTTAGTTTGTCCACGGAATGTAGCTTGAGCAATCTGGAATTTTTCAAATATCATTAATATTAGGATAATACATTTACAAATAAATGTGGATTAAAAATAATAACCTTTGCTTTCTCAGCCTTCCTCTTAGCCTGCTCTTGCTTCTTTTTCTCTTTACCTTCACGGACAGCAGCGGCACGAGCAGCAGCTCTCACCTCCGGCTTTTGATTGCGTTTGGATTTAATAGCCTCCCATGATGCGCCAACAATTGCACGCTCAATTTTAACTGTACGACGGGAACGTTTCTTTGCAACTTCTTCGGTGATACCCTTTTTGTGCATACGACGATATACTTGCGTCCAGCTGATCTTACGAGGATTCAGCCTCTGCAGGCAAAGGGATTCGGTTTTTGAGCCAACAAATCTGAAAGTCTAAGGGAATTATTATATAAGTGATGGATGATATTACTCAGGATAATTTTAAAACTCTGATCTAAAATAAATACTCGAGAGTGGGACTTTAATTTGATAAAAAAAAATCATTAGTCTAACCCTATTATCCGTCCTGACATAAAGCTTTCCTTTTCCAGGATAAATCTTGTTGCCCGAGAAGGAATCGACCTCGATCCTAGATGTTTAAAGTAAACTTAAGGTTCATTTTATAGCAAGCCCATAGCGTTAATCTTATTTCTTACTTCATGGTGATAGTCGAGAAATTTCGATATTTGATCAAATTGTAAAAAGATTTTTTTTCTCATTCCCCATATTTTATGCGGAGATCATGTGATTGGAGGTGCAATTAACGCTGGTCGTAGAGTATTTCATGTAATAAAGTAGCGAACGTAATCATCAAGGTGGTCTCGTGGTGTAATGGTTATCACTCAGGACTTTGAATCCTGCGATCCGAGTTCGATTCTCGGCGAGACCTTTTTAAAAGTTAAATTCGTTTTATTGTTTATTATATAAAATAATAAGCTAGAATTTTTAGAAAAATATAAATTTTAAAAGAAATAAATTGCAAAATTATTTTTATTATACAATTAAATATGAACCTTATTTTTTTCTTATCAAATAATAGTTAAAAAAAAAAACTCAGTATTGCAATGATTATTATAGATATACCCCACATATATTAACAAATCTCACATCAAGCAATTTAATACATGTTAAATCTTAATAAAATTTTTTTTGCAAAGAGTAATTTCTTATAAGAAATATTGTTTTATAAAATAAATATAATAATATACTGTGTATATTTAACTACTTTTCTTAATATAAATTTTCTTGCTCAATATTTCAAAATGATGAGAGCCACAGTTGTGGATATGTGCCACATACACGTGTAAATTTTATATCAAGTTGTGATGGATATAATTCACATAATTTAAACAAATAAAATTACCAAGTTATAATTTAGAAAGTTCATACACGCCGTATTTTTTTAATTAAAAAAATGTAAACTTGTAAATGTTCAATTATTTCGATAAAATAAGAGTCAGCCGGATTGTCGTTGCATTTCTTTCGCTACGCTGAATTGAATTGCTTTGTGAATCTCCTCAATAATATCTCGAGCGGCATTCTTGCTTAACTCGTAACAGTCGAAATACTAGGAAATAATGAAATAAGCATAAATCTATTTTAATTTGATAAAGAGGCAGAATCAAATTATCATCATACCTGTTGTTCAGTAAACAATCCTAAAGATTCACAACACAATAAATTCAGGGATGCTTTATTAAACGCGAATGTGTGAAAGGATTGAGATTTCTGTGATAAAATCATCACTAGAATGAGTAAATTGACTTTGGAATATGAATCGTTCGAAAATAATTTTATTATTGCTCAAACCTCAATCTCTTGTCCTTTCGGGTCAACCAGTATCACACCGTTCTCGTCAATGGCGCATGCAACGGCCACAACTATATCTGTCATCGGAATTCCGGCATTAATTAATGCTAGTGTTGTCGCATTGATTGCCGCCGCCAATATCTATTTCGGGGCTATTGGAATGAAGGATCTTTTTCACTTTCCAAAACCATTGTTCGATTTATAAGCGAAAGGATACACTTCCGTCGTCCATTAACACCTGGCACACAATCTGAATTAGCGTCCGCGGATGAAGATTGGCTTGAATAACATTTTCCAGTGTAGATCGCAAGAAAAATTCGTTGGTTTTATCTTTCGTGCCTTTAAGAAATCGTGATAATGTTAATCTTGGAGTAAATTTGTTCGTAAGAAGGGATTTTTTTCTTTTTTTTTTTTTTTTACCCGGTACACCAATCAAGGGTCTGAATGATACGTCTATCGTAGCTTTGTCCAATTTTTCGTCGCGTACTTTGACTTCGACCGGACCATTTATCGAACATACGACATTCGAGTCGCCTTTTATCAGTCATATAAATAGGATTTTACGGGTCATTGTTTACGTGGTTAAAGGGATAATTTACGTGAAGCAATATATACCAAATTTAAAGGAAGCAGAACCGTCTCTATTTACATAGTTTTGTTCAATAGAAATTGAACGAATTTCTGTGGATTTTCGCTTATCTGAACGTGACATTGTGTGAATCCCCAAAAACAAAGCAACACAAACAAATATAATGTGTGTGTGATGATTATCCATGAGTCATCGCCGATCCGGCTTAGATTTTGGCTGTGCGAACTGGCTTAGAAAAAAAAACCCCCTCAAAATTCCGTTCCCAAAAACTTCGAGGTATCATAGGTGAATGCAAAAGACATGAGTACTTTTGGCACAATTTTTCGAGTGACAACTTATGGTGAATCTCACGGTAAATCTGTCGGATGCATAGTGGATAATTGCCCTCCTGGGTTGCCCCTTGTCGAAGCCGACATACAAACTCAGCTTAGCAGACGGAGGCCCGGGCAAAGCGACTTGACCACACCAGTAAGCATTTAATTACCGCTGGTCGGTAAATAATAACCAGATAATGTAAAAAAGAAATTTCTTCTGAAAGGAGGTCGAGAGACATATCTAATAGCAAACGTCGTGCTTTACCTTGGTACATAGCGCGACGAAAAGGATCTAGTAACCATACAATCGGGAACGGAGTTTGGAATAACCCTTGGGACGCCAATTGGACTGCTGGTTCCCAATCAGGACCAACGCCCTCACGATTACTCAGAAACAGACCTCTATCCGAGGCCTAGCCATGCCGACTGGACCTATCTGCAAAAGTATGGTGTCAAAGCTAGCAGCGGTGGTGGAAGATCGTCGGCCAGGGAAACGATAGGTAGAATTTCTAATCATTAATAACCAGAAATTAATGCTTGGGACGCGATTTTGACATCACACGTCGAACTCCTCTGAATAGGACGAGTTGCTGCTGGTGCAATCGCGGAGAAATATCTTAAGCTCGCGCATGGAGTTGAGATCGTGGCATTTGTGTCATCGGTTTCAAATGTTGCAATGCCTTTCATTCAGACCGAGGACGAAAACGCCTTCCCCGAGGGTTTCTGGGAGTTCCTAAATGCCATAACTAGAGAAGAAGTTGACAAAGATCCTGTGCGATGCCCAGATAATGAGATTTCCGAAAAGATGCGAAAGGTTTGTAGGTATCTTCGGTCATAAAAATTTTTGGGTCTTTGTTACAAATATCGGTTCCGAAATTTTGACACCATTGTATCTCCCAGCGAATTCTTGAGGTCAAAGCGGCCAAAGATTCGGTGGGAGGAACTGTTACATGCGTTATTCGCAATGTCCCATTGGGACTAGGGGAACCGTGTTTTGACAAGTTAGAAGCGAAGTTAGCGCACGCGATGCTTTCAATTCCAGCCACCAAAGGATTTGAGGTTGGTAGTGGTTTCAAGGGAACCACATTATTTGGCCATCAGCATAACGACCCATGGGTCAAAAAAGAGAATGGTATATTGGGAACTAAAACCAATAATTCAGGAGGTATTCAGGTATTTACCGATTTGATTGAACGATCATATGACGTGTCGATGTTGCTTATATATTGACGCGCCCTAAAATTACAAGGGTGGTATTACGAACGGCGAAAATATTTATTTTCGTGTCGCCTTCAAACCACCGGCCACCATCTCTCAAGCTCAACAAACGGCCACGTATGATGGTGAGGATGGTACGCTCGCCGCAAGGGGTCGTCATGATCCCTGCGTGGTACCACGTGCGGTGCCGATTGTCGAATCCATGGCAGCTTTGGTTATTATGGAGTGAGTAGATGTGATAATCCAATCTTCCCGAATAAATTAAATAATGCCTGCTCATTCATCGATTTTTATTTAGTGCCGTGATGATTCAGCAATCGAGACAATCCGCTGCCTCACTTCTACCCCCAATACCCAACCTTCCGCCGGCGATGGTGGGTGCCGTACAATCTCGTGAACAAAAAAAAATAAGGACCGAATGAACAATTATACACAAAAAAAAATGTTGACAACCAATAACGTCGGTCGATCATGCTTCACATGGCTCATTTGTGTGCCGCTATGCTAATTGGTGACAGTGGTTGATGTTAAGTTGTAAGAATAGAATGCCAAAATTTTCAACCACCTTGCTTTATTACTTTATGTATTTTTATAATAATTTAGAAATAAAGTGATTTTTTTTTGTTGATTGTTTTTCCATCTTTTATTCGATGTTGATCGTTTTTCCAATCGTTATTTAATGCATACAGTACAGTATATGGTAAAATATCATATATCATTAACAAAAATGTTTATTGTACTGTACATTTGTTAAGAATTTTTCTTGCTATTAAATATTAATGGTAGCATACAGTATATTGCATATAGTGCACAGGATTTACTCTCGATGGCGATATTGACTATAGAGAATTTGGAAATAAAAATGATAAGGGAAAAAAAGAAAAAAATTCACAGATTGAAAATTCTTAGCCCGATAGTGATTTTGAAGGAGGATGGTAATACTGTATGTGTCAGAGAATTTCTGAAACACATTTTAAATTCTGGCTACCTACACCGTGAGCGCCGGCGCATTCACTTTGGTCATATTTAGGATCGTGGCTGCCGTTTGAGAATTGAATTTTGCGTCACGAGTTCATCGTACAGTATGTTGAAAGTATAACACTTTGGGTTATGTGTTGCTCCTATGACAAAGGAGGAAGGATACAGTACATAAAAGAAAACAACGATCGATGTAACCATTAACACAATCGATTCTTGTTTATGTCGATAGGGCACCCATTTTTGTAAGTCATAATTGTTTGGATATACGTACTGTGTGTGTGTACGTACGTTGCGTACTTACGTATGTGTGTACATACGCACAATGAACTTTCGCATGACCTGCATTGACACTTGGACATTTGGAGGAGAAAATGCTTTGCCTAAAAAAGAAAGGCAGCTAATAATGACAGGTTTGGTTTGCTGCGTCAAAATATTTGACACCTGATCCCAAAAAATCTTTATTTATCGATGCTCGCGTCCTTGTATGCCAATGAAGGTCCACGTCCCGTTTTCCTCCTAATTCGGACTCACCTCGTTCCGGCAATCCTCTCTCCGTTTATACACTATTCTCCCCCGAGAAATCTGTGTTCCTTTTTTCTTTTCTTTTTTTTTTTTTTTTCGCGACAATTTCGTGATTCCCGTCAAATACTAGTGAGCGCACCCACTCACATACACCTACTCTATCATAGGATCAACCAACTATGTACGTACGTACGTACATGGGTAGATGTTCCCTTCTCTACATCAACATTGTATTGATAGATCATTATATGTTGTAGACAATAGACCAACAATAGAGCGACTTTCAATTTACCTTACTTAGCACGATAGAAGTACGCAACATAGTAGGAATTTCTCAGCCAACAATATATACAATATATACATATGTATACGTATAACCCTAAGTCGCACACATAGGCATGCTTGCTCCAAATGAAAAATTCCTTTAGCAACGCCCAATTTTAATCTTTACTTGTTTTTTACTTTATTTTTTTTTTTTCCAAGTTCGAAAAGGTGGTGCTGGGCTCTTTGAAAAAACTACTTTTTTGGAGTAAATTTTGCTAGAAATAAGGAAAACGTGGTCTTCGGTTTAGCCAACAGTTCTCCCGTTTTTTTTTTTGTTAATACGACTATTTCTTCGAGAGTGGTTTTGTCAAAAAAGAATACACTTATATCCGACTCAACTTTTTATCTCACCATTTCTAACACCCTCACAAACCCAACACCCCTTATAACTGCCCATCACCATACCCTACACTTCCAATAATACTTTAAAAAAGAAAGCTCGTGGTCGGTCTTCCTTACTCTACCATCTTTAGAAAAAAGGTTCCACTCTGTCGGTTTCCTCGCAGCAAAAATAATTCTAATTTATAATTATAATCTCAATACACACAAATCTTGCAAGTAAAGATACAAAAATTTTAAAAATTTTCCAAAATAAAAATGGACGAAGAATCATATAACCCCGAAGTACTCCATGAGGACGATGACGACCATACAGTTGAACCGAATGGTGTATCAGGAGACGTAATTACCGTGGACCAAGAGTACGCCGATGCAACTGGGGTATTTCAAGAAAATCTGAACGTGCTGCAAAACCTGAATCTACAACCCCACCCGGGCGACCCTCTCGAGGAATACCTTAATATCTCAAAAACCTTGTCGTCTTGGATGACCACCAAGCTGTCAAACTTCCCCGATATTCCACCGAAATCCACAAACCCAATAGACCTCGACTCCGTAAATTCCTCCAATGAATCTTTGAGCATGATAGAGGTGGAAATAATAAACCGACAGCCCGATTATTATCAGTTAAATGGTCTCTTGTCAGAAACAACCATCGATCTCCCCTCAATAAAAGATCATTCAACGGCCATAGAAAAATTATGGCTGACCTTTTTGGACTTGGTGAAGTTGGGAAAGCTCAGGTGTCAGGAGTTGAAATGGGTGGCCGAGCTGAGAGCGAAGGTGGATGGTATTGATGTTGAGGTTAAAAAGGTGGAGGCTATGTTGGATGGTGTCGAGGAATCAAGAAAGAAAACTCACGATGACGGTGTCAACACGACCGCCGCTTCCGCGGTGAATACCTCCAGCAGCGGTGTTCCATCAGTCAGCAATAGTGGTAACGTCGACTCTTTGAGTGATGTAGCCGTCACCGGTATCGTTTTCTCATCTTCTCTGTTGGACGAGTGGTATACCAAGGTTGTTGCCGTGGAAGAATCGGTGCACGAACTGGAAGCAAAGGTGAAAGAGGTCACCCAACTTCGTCAACATGATCGATTTAGTCCTCCCAGTGATTTGGTCAATCACATTCAACTCATAATCACCTCCGATGTGCCCGATTTGAGGAACCGAATTAACGTCACCAAACAAACTCTGGCCCACGATCGTCGTATTGGAAGGTGGTTTGACGGTTCAAATGAAGCTGACAAGGTGATCGCGGACACTCTGAGTGAGTTGAAGAAATTCGAAGTTCCCGATTTCGTCAACAAGTATGATTGGTCGGAAGAGGAAAAGAACATAGACCTTCTCGTAAAAGAACGAATGGATGCCATCAAAAAAATTGTTCAATACGTGCAAGAATTCAAAACCGAAAAAATAGATGATCTCGAAAAAAAATCAATGGAAATAATATCCGCCATCAAGGATTCCGTTGACAGGGAAGACCAGACGGCCGTGGAATTAATGACAAAACAACTAAAAAATCTCAACGAACGACTCACACGACTAACCGATTTCATCAGTCTTCTTTTGTCGCAAACGACTGCCGAGCGTTATTCTATCGTCATAAACCTTTTAAGTTCGATGCAAGGTATGCGCAATGAGATGGCTCAGATAAGAAAGACTATAATTGAGCATAACGACGCCGGTTTGGTTCACGGCGATATTCAAGATTTGGAATCCAAGATCACCGAATTCACCGATAAATTGTTGACGGACGACTCCGCGCTCTCAAAAGCTTTGAGACAGAAGCACGCGAAACTATTACTCACCATCCAAAACATTCGTATCGCTCTGGCCGAAAATAAACTTCAGATGGCCGCCTATCTGAGTCCATCCAGTCCGACTTCTCCGTCTTCCGCCGATTTCGAGTTCGATCGCCTGCAGATCACCGTGCAAGGTAAACTAGACTACTTCCACTCCTTGCTTGCCTCCCCTCCTATTTACATGATCGACACCGATTCCGAAACTGACGAACCCGAACGCGTGCACGGTCTGACCTGCAATGATGATCACGTCGCGGAATTCACCGAACGTTATAAATCCATCGAATCGGAACTGACCGCTTTCGAGAGGAGTCTGTGGGTGGAATTTTGGTTGAAAAGCGAGCCCGCCAAGAAATCTCGTGGTGAAGAGGTGGCTGAAAAGATAAAAGAGATGGAGTCGAAATTTGCTTCCATCAAGGATCTAATCGAAGAAAGAAAACGAGATCTTCAGGTGATAAAGGAAGGAAGGGAGTTCGCGAAGTCCGTTCATTCAATTCGGGATCAACTCGACAACGTCAAAGGTGAAATGAGAAGAGGCAACACCACCACCGATGCTTCAATTCATAAGTTGGACGATCACATGGTGGAAGCACAAAAATTGATCGACGACGTCAAAGCTTCTTATGCTCATCTGATATCTCCCGAGGCAAGCGACCAAAGATTTAGGGAATTCTTCGACAAACAAATCGAGCAGTTTACGCGCGTTCAGGCCTGGATAAACGAGGTTCGCGTTTGGTTCAAGGAGGCCGAACGCATACGTGTTTGGATTGACGAGCGCATCAATATCCTGGACAACGTTCCACAGATAGATGTCTACCAGGAGGGTGAAGCCCCCGCGACTCAAGAACAAGTTGACGAATGGCAGAAGGAGTACGAGGCGCTGGAGAGAGAAACTGAAAAATTTGACTCCGAAGATATGACGCGTCTAAGAGCTCACGTGAAAAATATAATGGGCGCAGACATGACTGCTTCAGATTCCATGTCTCCGGCTGATGCAATGACCATCTCAATCACTCTACGAACATTAACTATTTTAGATCAATTGATAGGAATGTTGAAACACCGTGAAAACGAATTGGAGGTGTTGGCTTTACGCGTGCATTGGGAACGTGAATTCGGAAATGCGATGAACATCTGGCATCGGATAAAGGACGAAATTAAATCTTTTGTTCTCAGTCAAGGTAGATGGAAACCTCCGGTCTCGGCCAGAGACGATGGATGGTTTGTAAACGCCACACAGCCTAGTCAGCGTGATGTCACACTCGAAGCACAATCCATCGAAAAGAATATATCCGACTTTGAGAACGACGTGATTCCACCAACTGGTGACATATTTTTTGAGTTGACCGAGGTCTCGCAGGTTGAAGTTCCCGATTATTTGATCGAAAGGCAGGTGAATCTCGAAGAAGGGGATCTGAAAGAATTGAAATCTTACATGGCCTTCGCAAAAGACGTGCTAACGCAACGACAGCAAGCTTTAGCCTACGCTGATGATTCCGAATATGCTTACGCCGATGGTAAGAAACTACGAGATGAATTGGTGATCGAAGAATCTAATCCACGAGGTGGATCGGTTGAAAAGAAATTTATCGCTCGTGTCATCGAGTTGAACCAGCGTGTCGAAAGATCGTGGAGTTCCATGACCTCTTTAATAAACTATCCCGAACATCCCGATCACGAATCGTCGGAAAATGACACCGTTCGCGAAGGCGTGACCGTCTATCACAAGAAGTTGGAGGTCCTGCTTCAAGAGACCAATGAAGCTCTGGAGAATTACAAACGTGCCCTGAGATTCGTGGAGATGGCAAACGAGTACAAGAGTGAGGCTGCTCGCCTGGAAGATTGGATTGCCAAGAAAGACAAGTTTGTGGTCAATCGTAAATTTGATGTTTTCCGCGAACCATGCAAATTCACCGCCAAAGATGTTGAGAGCTATGTTGCCGAGAATTCTCAGGTGGTCATGGACGTGCATAACTTTGACCAAGAGGAACTCAAGGTTCTTCGCGAAAAGGTTGCCGCCCTCGTGGCTGACGTGAAAGCAGTGGGAACAAAATGCGTCAACACCGACGAGTTGGATGACATGATGAAAAACCTTGATAAGAAACTCGACGGACTTCGAGATAACATTCAGATTCTACGATCACGCGAACCTGACGAGGTGGATGCTGCTCAGAAACGTCTTACCTGGGAGGATTCATACAGGACCTCCAGCGATTTCATTAAATCTTCTTTGAAGGAAATAAAAGGTTTCATGGCAGACAAGGCCTCATGGAAAATAAAAACTCCCGAAGACGTGGATGTGCATCAAGCTCTTTCCCTCGAGTGTGCAACCTTCGAGGAAAATGTTAAAAAGTTTGCGTCCGACACCATTCCCACCAACAAATCGAATTACGACGCGTTCATCGAAGCCAGTGAAAAGTTGTCCGACCGGGAACGCAGGACTCCAATTGAAGACCGTCAATCCAAACTTGAAATCGACCTGGCTAAGCTTAATGATCATGTCTCTTTCGCTCGTGAACTCTTGCTTCAACGTGCTGCGGCGGTAGAATATCATGCGGAGGCCACGAACCTGGATAAAATCTCACATGAAATTAGGAATAACTTGATCCATGCCGAGAAAAATGTTTCCTCGGGTCCAAGTGAAATTGACTTTGAGACAAAGATTACGGAATTCAACCAGGCCGTCGACACCTTATGGGACGAACGCGGATCCAAGATCCCATACCCAACCAGTCCTATCATGGATGAAGTGAAGATAACGAAAAACAATCTGATCGAAGAATCCGCGAAGAAACGCCTTTCAACTTTGCGATCTGCGGGAGATGAGTTGGAAAAATTGTACGAGACTTATCAATCCTCGCTCGCTCTTCAAAAACGCTCTAACGAGTGCCTAGAGAACGCATCACGTTTGCAAGACTGGATAGCGGATCGATTAAGGAATCTCAATGGTCGTAAAGTCGATCCCCTTGCTCAAGAGTGCACGTATGATGAATCACAAGTTCTGAAAATGCATGAAGAACACGAACAATTCAAACAAGAGAATACGCGAGTTGATGTAGAGGAGATTGGTCAGGCCCGTCGTGATCTTGAGTTGTTGCTCGAAGATATTAAGAAGGCAAATTGTAAAAGCGTTGGCAAGAAACCAATTCGCGAAGCTCTGGACAATCTTGACAAGAACTTTGGTGATCTACAAAAATTGTCATCCCTGCATCAACTTGATCTCAATGTGTTGCAAGCTCGCGCAAAATGGGAAGATCAATATGGTCCGAGTACCTCCGCCCTTGTCGACTTGGAGAATCAAGTAAACGATTTTATCGCGAGCAAAGCGAGATGGACCAAAGAAAGTGCACATCCCGAAACCGACCTACAAGAGGAATTTGCTGATTTGAAACAAAAAGTTTCCGAATTTGAGGGCAAACCGTTATCTGCAATCAAAAAATCGTACAACGAAATGGCCGACTCAATGAAATCCTATCTCTCAACGCATCCCCCTCCGCAACATATTATCGACCGCCAACTTGACCTCAACAAGAAATTCGACAACCTCGTTGGACGTACAGATCTAGGCAAACAGGTATTGGAACAACGTGACGCAATAAATGCCTACCTTAGTCAAGCCGACACTGTAGAAGAGGAAGGGAACACACTGAAGGCCCTGCTGAAATCTGCTGAACAGAAAGGTGAAGCTGACCCCGGTTTTAAGGAAAAACTCGCCACCTTTGGCGAACATCTGAACAACTTGAAGAATGATTTTGCCGCGAGAATCCCTTATCCCACAGATGCACTGCCTGAAGAGGACGTAAACGCACCGATAAAACAGGTAAGCCGTCGTTCAACCTTTTTCACATTACGCGCACCTTCTTAAGATATTTTCCACGCATTCATTTTTTCACCTTAGGTTGTAGACTCCCGTTTACGGGAGATCGATTCACTATCGAAGGAGCTGGAGAACTTGCTAGCCTCATATAAAGAAACGATGAAACTTTCGGAAGAGCTTGACAACGCCTGTTCTGATGCGAAAAAACTTGAAGATGAGTTTGACCATTTTATTTTCAAAAAAGCTTGGTGGCAAGCGCAAGAATCTCCCGTTGCCGAGAGTGCTATAGACCCTGTAATCAAAGAACTATCTGACGAATTGAAAATTATTAACAAGAAGATCGCGGACTTTGAGAGCACGAAGCTTAGATCTGCGAACGGTAAATTTGACGAATATCGAAACGCGACGAATGCGAGCGGAAAACCTGTTCCAGAACATGTTGAGAATAAGCATAAGCTGGTGAACGAATTGCTGCAAGGGTTGAGATCAGTGGAAGGTTGTGCAAAGGAGGTCATCGAACAAAGAGAATGTATCATGCAATATATGTCCAAAGGCGCCAATATGGAAAATGAGGCGCAAAAGATTCAACAGGTAAGGCGAGGTCAATATTTCTATCATGACGACCGTATAAATGTGCTCACATTTTGATTGGCTGTTTAGGTCCTATTAACCAACGAACCGAGTTCGCCCGGAGGAGAAGGAAACACCGTTTCTACGGCGGTCAACAGCTTTTTGGGTAGAGTCGAAGATTTGTGGAACGAAGTTGCGTCGCGAATCACGTATCCCACATGTTCAGTACAAGGTGATCGAGACCGAACCGGTCGCGCGGAGGATTGTAATTCGATGGTTCGCGAGGCAGTTGAGGCACAAGATAATTCTCTCAAGTCATTGGCAATTAGCCTGAACGATCTCCTATCCACGCATCAAAATGTATTGCGCCGCAAGAAGATGATTGAATCTTACATGAATCAGGCTGATAAAGTCGCCGCATGGATTCAACCAAGAATGGACATGTTGAAGAGCATCCTCGAAGACGATACCCTGGGGGATCTGTCAGAAGATCGGTTGCGTGAAAAACTCATTAGCGAAGTTGAAGCGGTCGAAGCTGCGCGACAATCATTCCATAACACATTTGATTTTGCCAAAAATTTATCCAACAAATTAATCGAAGATATGACCGAAGAGGTCAAAAAAGGTGGCGATGATATCGATGACATCAAGGCCGATCTTGAACAAGTTCTCTCTCGTTCGCGAGAAATTGATGATCTGTGGAACGAATTACAAGTCAATGTTCCAAATGCAAAACAAAGAATAGATCAGGCACTGCAGGTCGTAGATTTCAAAGGAAAGGTCAAAGGAGTTTTCGAAAAGATAGAAGATTTATCCAATACGATTTCAAATAAACCGGTAGAAGATATATCCGATGCTGACATGAAAGACTGGAAGATCAAGTTGAACTCGCTCGAACAGACAGATCTCTTCACTCTAATTAAACTTCACGATGTGGTTCAGGGAAATCTGAGAGAAAACTTTAGTGCATTTAGCGACAAGGAATCCAAGAAACTTGAAGAACTTTTGAGTCAAGTCGCCAATGCTATAGGAGCCTTGAAACAATCCATGAGCAAGAGAATTGATGAAGTAGAAGCCTATCGATCCGCAGAGATTTCCAAAGCCTTTATGAATCGTGTAATGGACCTACAGCGGTGGATTGATTCATCGATTTTGTCCTTCCAGAATGCCAAACAGAATCACGGAATAATGGTGGAGAATTCCAGCGATCTAAACACCAAGAATTTTCATAACCTGAAAGAAACTTTTGAAATCTTCAACAGCCAACTACCCGACCGGAGGGACGAACTAGAAAGCATTCGCTCGGAATTCAACGATATAAGATCAAAGGAAAGCGTTCTGGAATTGGATGATATAATTAATTGGCAGTCTTACCTTGAAGCTTCATGGGAAAAACTTGAGGCGTCCGCTGATTCCCTTAAAGAATTCAACGAAAAAGTTGCGCAATGGTATGATCAACACGAGGCCATATATCGTATCGAAAATGAGATATTTGATGGATTAGAGTCTCGCATTAAGTCATTGTTGAACGTGGGCTTTGATAAGTTGGAAGTAGAGGTTAAGGAGTTGGATGAAAGCATCAAAACAGCTTCCGCAAGACTCAACGAAATCAAGATCGCGGTCGATCAAATTTATGACACTCCGGGAGACGACATTGATGGATCCAATAGACGGAACTTTGATATTCATTTCAATGAAGCGGTCGGAAGACTTGGGTCATTGGATTCGTCATTCAAAAAGGCCCTTCAAGAAGCGTACAATGCTTCACAGGTGGCGGCATTTCACGCGGTTGCGAATAAAATCATCAGCTCCTGTCGCGAAGGAGCGGCCGTTGTCGAGAATAGGCATGACGAACTTGATCGTAGCGGTTATTATGCTCTAGAGGTGGATCCACTTGAGACCATTCTCCGAGGCGCCATTGACGGGTACACACAGAGCGAGGAGAATTTGAGAAAATATGATCAACAGGTTCACGTCGACCTGAAGCAAGAGAGGGATAAGTTGATTGAGCAGAATCCGGAAACCAACAGAGACCGTGTGTCAAACATCTTCGATAAGGTTACCACAGCCCTAGAACAATTTTCTGATGCTGTCGCGCTCGAACGTCGCGAGCTTGAACTTGTGCGCAGAATTTATGCACATGCCAAGGCAGCCCAAGACATCCAAAATTGGATATCATCATGTAAAAGGGCGGTACTGAATATTCAAGTTGACGCGCTCGATCAGGAGGATGATATATGCGATTTGGAAGAAAAGGTCGCCAGTTTCCAGAACACCATCAATGCATTCAAGGACATGAGCGACCGAGTTCTCATGCCGGAAGCGGATAGCGCTGGCATTACTGACCCTCAACCAGAAGAGTCCAATCCTATGATAAAAGAGTCAGTCCAAGCTCGGTCCTATCACGTGATAGATGATTGGAACGGACTTAAGGAATTATTAAATCATTTGCGAATAAGCCTCGACGCGTCAAAGGAAAAACAAGAAATTCTACGCACAATAAAGGACATACAAAATGCCATCGAGCAAGTTAAAGAAAGAGTATTAAACATCGAATCCTTCATAACCGGCGAAGGTGTACCCGGACTGCCAACGATGGATGATGTGAACAATGGGGAAAGGGAACTCGATGAAATTCAGGCCGAAGTTGATCACATACTTGCACCCAGAATCGATGATTTGGATGATATGCTAAGTAACTTGACAGATCGCGATGCCAGCTATATCCAACAACGAGCCGTGATCGCAAAATTATTGACTAGCCTTGCGGATAGCATCGAAAATAAGAGATCTCAACTCAAAGAGGCACAAAAATTGGCAAGATTTGGTACCAAGGCAGACGAGATGAGTGCATTAATGAGATCATTGCTCGAAGTGGTTGATATTGCGACCTCAACCACGGACACGCCGCTTGAATTCTTGCCTGTTATCGAATTGCAGTCACGTTCAATCGAACTCGAAACCAAATACGAATATTATCAACCCAAGATAGATCAGAAATTTTTGGAGGCGCAACAGATGGCGGAACCGATGAAAGACGATTGGCGAGTTGAGGATCGCCTGGGAATTCTCAGGGAACAATGGAACGAATTAAATGAGGTCGCTTTGGCTAAGAAGGAAGATCTAAAACGCCTCCTGTCCGGACAAAAGATATCAAGGACGAGACATGGGCGTTCCAACTCTCAAATAATCACAGGTAGTAAAGCATTTTCCTCCATAAAATCCAGTCGTTCATCAACTAGACCCCCCTCCAGAAACACCCTTACCCCCAAAACATCGTCGTCATCACTAAGGACAGGCAGGTCAATATGCTAAATAATGCTCACCTTTTTCTTTTTCACGTTCAAAAGCTCGAAGAAGCGTTATGTCACCATCTCCACCCAATTCTAGGTATCGAACACCGGGATCACGACCCGGGTCGGAAACACCAACGGGGCGTACACCAAGTCCAGGCGGTACTCCGGGATCGCCGAGGCGCCCACCGATTAGATTACTACCACATTCAGTAAACCATTATGTCCCGGATCCAGATAACCAACTCGATGTCGAAGTTGCTCGGATAGTGAATGCCTGCCCGGTGAAGATCAAAGTTTCCATGGTTGAAGGTGAACCCGGGAAGTACATGTTTGGTGAAGTAGAACCGAAACTCTGTTATTGCCGAATCCTGAGAAGTCGCATGGTCATGGTTCGGGTCGGAGGAGGTTGGGCCGAGTTGTCAAAGTACGTACCGTTAATTCGGAATATTGCGTAACTCGCAATTTTTGGAATTTTGAAAAATCACTAACAACCTTTTTTTTCTTTCTTTTTTTTTTTCCTTTTAAATTTCTGAAACATTGACCGACAACGAAAAGATTCCTTGTTGGTATGTACATAGTTACTAAAAAAAAAAAAGAAGTAAACAGAATCTTCGCAAAGATGTGTGAACTGCAGAAGCACAATGCACATGTGATCTCCAACAACGCAACCTAGAAAATTGTTGGAGACTAGCGATTTGTTGAAAATTCATTTCTATTCTCATTAATTTGACGTTTACTATATGACAATATATAGATAACAATGATGTCACTCTCCAATTCATTCTGCCACAACAGAACACGCTAACCTGGAACAAAAGTACATCCCCAAAGCCCGATCTTTTGTCGGAATTAACGAACCAGAGCCAGCAGGTCGTGAAACCTCTCCAAGTCCCCCTTTTCGCACGGCGAACCTCAGCTTCATCCCGAAGGGACCAGGCCTCCGAATCGAGGACCCAACACAAAGCAATAATCCCCTGGCGCTGAAACGAATGTCATACACGAGAAAAGTGAGTAGTTTAGATAATAATGATAGATCACGCATTGGTAGACCAAGTGGCTATAGAATGCCAACAACCGAAGAATGATTGGATTGGAGTTTGTTACGTTACAATTTGTTTTTTTTTTCATTTCTGTTTTTCTTTATATTTGCGTCTATGTCACGTACATGTACATATATTTTTTTTTCGCTGGTTCGAAAAGCTCAGAATTTGCACGAAAAAAAAAAAAAAAGGCACACATATATATATTCATTGGTGGAGAAAAATATTGAGAGGTTAGGAGCAGATATTTGAAAATTCTTTTTGTAGGAGTTTTTGAGGGGTCAAATTAAAAAAATATGAGATTAGAGTCTTGGCTGGGCTTTGGTAGGTTTGACCAAAAAAAAAAAAACTAAAATAATATTTATTTAAATTAAATCACAAAACAAAAACATTTCATTTCACTCCCCAAGCATAATAACTACCAAAGAAAAAAATTTTTCTTGCGTTTAGATTATTACGTAAATCGATGAGGATGATTAACAAATTATTTATATATTTTTTTCTTTCTCTCAATATTTATATTTATAACAACAACAATCATTCGCCTTCAACACAACCGCAACCAATCAATCAACAAACACAGAATCGGCAAAAACTTTGGATATGGGCGTTAGGTTTGGCGATCTTGGTATATTATTTGATCGCGCTCAAAGAACGAGAGAACACGTGGGACCACTGCGAACTGAGGAATAAACAATTCTTGACATGCACTTGACCTACTTCCTTTATCACATTTTTGAAGGAAAGGAGGCCTCCATTTTTAAACACCAAGATATCCCTCGTTACCTTTGATTCGCATTCCTAACAATACCACCGCAACATCCTTTGAAACAACCATCATAAATACACAATTATTACGAAACACAAACCTTTGCCTTTATTATTATCTCTCCTTCAAAAAAAACATGATCATGACATACCTTCGTGCGTTAAACCGCGAAAAAAAAAAAAAAAAAATCGATGCTAATTGCCGAGAGACGGAATAATTTCAACTATCTTTCGCGATCCCGTTGATTAATCGGATCATTTATGAGCATAAAATCCATCCATCTTTTATCCTAGCCAGGCTCAGGATGTCTGCCGATCGCACAACACGGGTTTCCCTGGTACGAATTTTTTGACTTTTTAGACATAAAATAATGATGTATAGTTATTATATTTAAAATATATAAATTATTGATCTATCAATTTCTTTAATGAGCATATAATTAAAGATTAATATATATATATATATATATATATATATATATATATACGTATATACAGTGTATACCCCTTTTCGTTGTAAACATAAGATTGTAAAATACAAAAGTATATATAAATCATAGAGTCACGCGTTGAATGGTTTTTCAATTGATATAAAAATAAGGCATTAGATACAGTATACAATAATATTATGCGTAATCTTGACAAGGCGTAATTTCCAATTATCACTTTCACATCTAAAATTAATCATCTATTTACAGTAATTGTAATAATAGAAAATACTTGTATAAATTAAAAATATTCGATGAAAAAATTAAAATTCGCAACTTTTTAATTGTATCGATCGCAATAACTTAACTTATTAGTAAGATTAGTAAGGCAAAATCATAAATTTTTTTTATTTAATCCATTGTTTGACTAGATAAGTTATTTTAGTTTATTTTTAAACCCCTTTGTCAGGTTAGTTACGGTATGTGTGCTTTGTTAAACGTTTGTAAATTGTATTATAGTAGGTCCCATAAGTGATACACAATTTAGACAAATAAAGGTGTCATGTTTATCTCCTATTTTATTATTTGTTTTTTCCTTCAGCTATCAATTATATATAAGAAAAAAAATCACTAGTTAAATATAATATGTTCTTATACCTAAAGATGGGTCCCTAAAGAAGGAGGCAAGGACAAAAGTCAAATGTCCCTCACTAGTAAACATTAAATTTTTTAAATTAATAATTATAAAAAAACTATTCATAATTGTTCTCCATTATCCAAATCATTGATTTATAGTATTTTCTGATTTTTTGTCACTATTAAAGTGAAGAGCTATAAATTTTGTCCCTCAAAAAGGGATATAAGTGATTTGTAAAATTTTATATATTAAATACTTTAGAAACCCATCATTATTTATATCTAGTTAAATAATATAATTAAAAAATAATATTAATATTAAACAAGTTATAAATATTTTAATTAAAAGTAATCTGAATAATTGAGTACAACTTTCACAAAATATCTAGTAAATCTGATTAAAAAATATTATTTTTTATTGATTCTTATTATAAAAAAATTAAAAATTTTTTATGATCTGAAAAAAATCATTGAAAAAAAAAGTTTCTTATACAATATAGGAAATATTTAAAAAATATTATCAATAATTTCAAGTTTACTTGTAATTTAATTATAATTATTAAAATATTATATATTATAATAATTTATTTTTTTTTTTTTTTGAGTATCCATAATTAGGCTATATTATTGATTTATTAATCAATTGAAAACATAAGTATATTTTTATTTGAACAGCATAATACATACTATAGCCAAACTATTATTTTAATCTAACCAACTTGTTGTAAACATAAAAACTTTTAAGTTCAATTTTGAAAACAATATTTCATTTTGCAGTGTCTTTGAATGAAAATCTTCCTAGTTTATTGTATTATTGTCAACAGGTTATCACTATTATACAGTATATCAATCCAAACTACTGGAATACAAAAAACTACAAAAGAATAAGTTGAAAAAAGAGGAAGAAGAATATTTAAAAATATTTAAATAAACAATAAGAAAATAAAAAAAAAATTTGAAAAAAAAGATTCCAGTTTCCTTCAAAGATTTGCTTCTCAAGACCTCTTCTCAATAAGAAATATCTAATTGGAATATTCTTTTTTCTCCTGACTATCTGAGAAACTTATTCATTTTTGATCTTGACTTCTTTCTTATATATTGTCTAAGAAGGTTTATTGCCTAATATATGCTTTTATTTCTAAAACACACTTGATTTCAATCTTCTTTGAGCAATAATTTTTTATCCATTTGTGATAAAGAGATAACTTATAATAGATCCCAAGTTTTTATGTGATCTGATAGAAAATATGTCATATTGTTTCAATATTATATCTTTTAGTAGTCATATTTAGTTAAAAGAATTTTACTGATATATATCTTTTATTATCCAAAAGGCTAGATTTCTCAATAATTCTTTTGTCTTGTAATAATGAAAGGGTCTTGAAAATGATAGATATCCTCATCGATTGTGATATTCCTCAATAATTTTTAGGAAAATGTATTCTCAATTATAATCAAAGGGTTGGAGCTTAATATAAATTAGAAATCATTTGATCTTATTACTTGATCAAGATAAAAAGGTGACCTTGATATTGAACTTTGTTTAACTAGAATTATAGAAGAAAAAGACCTCAGCTTGAACAAATAATAGCTTTTTTACTACCTGGGAACTTGTTGCTCATATTTTATTAATATCATAAAACTTGATCTATAAATTAATCCAATTGAAAAAGTGTGTAGATATGAAGTACCATTAATTCCTTCAATCACCAATAGTATCATTAAAATATATGATGTAACTAGTAGGGACTTGTTTATATTTAGCTATTGACATGTTTCATGTCAATCAATCAGATTTCAGGTGATACTGTGCTATCAGAAATTCATGATCAAACTGAAATAGGCAAAATTTCTCAAAAAAACTATAAAAAACTATAAACACTTTAAGAGAGTATAAGACAGTATGTATAAAGATATATAATAAGTCTTTTCTTATCAATAGAACCTCTATTTTTTGTCACTTCCAACTCTGTAAAGTGATACTCCACTTGTCAGTCATATTATAATAATTTATTTATTTATTTTTAAATCCACAATTATGTCGAAATAGCTTGTCTTTATTAAGATACTTAAAAAAAATATCAAAATAATCTGCAAACCTTTTTATATAATAATCAACTTGTCTTTGTATATTATTAGTTGAAGAACTATATTACTTAAAAAATATAAAATATTCACTAAGCTAGTTTAGACTAAACAATACTAAGTCTCAACTAGATACTCTAAATCAGATTTAAAGGACAATATTACACTCTTTTAGTAACTTGGCATAGTGTCTCTAAGTCAACTAGAATTATTGTCAACAGTTTGTCACGGTTAGTTATCCCAAAAAATGATGAATTTCTGAAGTTTGAACTGAGCAATAGACAAATGAAAACAATTCAAAGTTCTCCAAAAGATTCTTTCTCCATTTTACAGCCTCTTTTCAAAAAAAGTCATACCTGATTGAAATATTCTTCTTTGCTTCATTTGAATCTTGGAAGGAGTTTTCTTTATTATCACCTGCAGTATCAAATAAGTTTTCATTTAAGTATGTACCAGATTGAATAGTTTAAGAGAAATTAAAAGACCTCAGCTTCCACCTTAGAAAGCCTTTTCACTACTCAAAGAACTTAAAGAAGGGATAGAATTTCTTTGTGTGGATTCATCCCACCTTTTGATATCATAACTATTTCCTGGGGTCAAATATACATAATTGGAGAAGAACTTCTTTTAAAATTTTCTTTCTTACATTATCTATGATATGATAGAAATATATGAGTATAATCAATAAAAGCTTGTTTACTTTTCCTGAAACTATATATTTCATATCAGCCAATTACCTTTTATGAGAATTTGTACTATTCAAAATTCAAGGTCAAACTGAAATAGACAAAATTTCTCAGAAAACCATAAAAATGATAGCTTTAAGAGGTTCACAAATGACTAGAAAGGGAAAAGTAAGTTTTTCTATTATTAAAAACTTCTATATATCTCTTGCTTTAAAGGTGAAAAAGGTTTTCATATACTTTACTATTGATTCTTTTTTTTTTGAAAACTTTCTTACCATTGATATCAAAGGTGTTACTTGATTTGTTCTTAATTATCAAAAGTCAAGTTTTTGATTAAAGAGGATTGTAAATGAGTAAAAGAGGATAGATGTAACTCATGAAGTCACTCTTTAAGAAGTTTTAAGGAAAATATTAAAGATTTTTTAGCAAAGAAGCAAAAAAACTTCTTGTGAATATTTTTTTTGTATGTAATTAGAGGATCAGCAAAAAGAGTTTTTATATATTATATTATAGTTTATATTATTTATAATTTATAAATATAACTTTAATTTAAAAAAATTTATACATAAATTTATCAATTTTTTTACTTTATTGTTGATAAATAGTTGCTGAATTTTTAATAAATAGTTAATAAACCTTTAATGAATAATTTAATGAATAGTTGCTGGTTTTTTAATAAATAATCAATGAATTTTTAATGAATAGTTGACGAATTTTGGATGAATTTTTAACAAATTATTAATAAATTAATATTGAATTTTTATTGAATTGTTAATAAATAATTTTGTAACAGACTTTTAATAAATTATTGTTAAATTGTTAATAAATTATTGTCAAATTGTTAATGAATTATTTGATAAATTATTAATAAATTTTTTGACAAATTGTTAATATACGGATTTTTATAGTTGTTAATTTATTTATATCATTTTTTTGCCAAATTGTTTATTTTTTACTAAATATTATATGAGTGGCAATATATCAAATAAATTTTTTTCGACTAGTGAAGAATAAGACTTTATTAGTCAAGAAGTACAGTGACTTCATGAGAATGTCTTTTTTTGTGTGTGATTAGAAAATCGACATAAAATTATATATATACTATATATATAATAATTTTTTTTTTACAAATAAAACAAAAATAGTTTTTTAAACAATCTTTTAATAAACTCTTTTTACTGATTCTCTAATCCCATATAAAAAAGATGTTTACAAGAAGTTTTATACTTCTTTGTTAATAAAATCTTTATACTTTCATTAAAACAACTTGAAGCTTGTTTTTATTTATCTCTTTTACCTTTTCTTATTTATTTATAAACTTCTTTGAATAAAAACTTGGGTCTCTAATGGTCTGAAAAGACTCAAGAATACACTTTCCCTACTAAGGACAAGAAAATTCTAGGAAATAAAAAAATTGACAAGTGGAGTGTCACTTTATAAAGCTGGAAGGGATAAAAAATAGAAGTTTTGTTGATAGGAGAAGGCTTATTATTTATCTTCTTATATATTATCTTATATTTTCTTAAAGTATCTATTGTTTTTCACAATTTTCTTGTGAAAATTTGTCTATCTCAGTTTGATCCTAATTTTTGATAGCACAATGTTACCTGGTATCTGATTGGTTGACATAAAACATGTTAGTAACTAAATATAAACAAGTCTCTATTAGTTACTTCATATATTCTAATAATATCATTGATAATTGAAAGCATTGATTGATATTTTGTGTTTGTCCTACTTCTTCAATTGGATTAATCTATAGATCAAGTTTTATGAGATCAATAAAATATAAGCAACAAGTTTTTAGATAGTGAAAAAGTTGTTATTTGTTCAAACTGAGATCTTTTTCTTTTATTATTCTAATCAAATAAAGTTTAAGACCAAGGCCTTTTTTTTATCCTAGACAGATAATAAAACTAAATAGTCTTTGGTCCATATTAAGCTTCAATCCTTTAGTTATAGTTGAGAATATATTTTCCCAGAAGTTATTGAAGGATATCGTAATTGATAAAAATCTTTATTATTTTTAAAATCCTCTTATCATTACAAGACAAAAAAATTATTGGAGAATTTAATCTTTTGAGTAATAAAAAATGTATACCAGTAAAATTTTTTTAACTAGGCATAGTTATTAAAAGATATCATACTGAAATAATATGATCTGGTTTCTACTAGGTTATATAAGAATTTGGAATTCATTATAAGTTGTCTTTCTATTGCAAGTGAATAAAAAATCATTGTATAAAAAAGGTTGGAATCAAGTATGTCTTGAAAATAAAGACTTTCACTAAGTGATAAGTCTTCTCAGATAGTATACAAGAAAAAAATCAAGATCAAGAATGAATAAGTTTCTCAGATAATTAAAAAAAGAAAGAATATTTCAATTGAGTATTTCTTATTGAGAAGAGATCTTAAGAAACAAGTCTTTGAAAAAGGCTGAAAATTTTTTTTCCAATTTTTTTTATTTTATTTTCTTGTTTTCTATTTAAATATTTTTAGATATCTTCCTTCTTTTTTTTTTTAATCTATTCTTTTATAGTTTTCTATATTCCAGTGGCTTAATAAAACATATGACAGTAATAATTTGTTGACAATAATATAATGGACTAAAAAAATTTCTATCTAAAGATACTGTAGAGTGAAATATTGTTCTCAAGGTTGAACTTAAAGGCTTTTATGCTTATGATGAGTTAATTAGATTAGAATAATAGTTTAGCTATAGTATGTATCATGTTGTCCAAATGAAAATATACTTATGTTTTCAATTGATTAATAAACAAACAAACAATCTAACCTAGCTATGGGTACTCAAAAAAATAAAATAAAACAAGAATAGGTCAATTCTCAAAAAAGAATTATATAACAATAAGAACTTGTTTTAAATTTTTTAAGATTAAAACTTATATTTATCTATTTTTTTTTAAATTATTAATTTTTAAGTTATTTTTATACAAAAAAATATATATACATATATAAATAAGAAAATAAGAAAGGATTTTATTAACATAGAAGTATAAAACTTCTTGTAAATATCTTTTTCAGTGAAAATTGATTTGCTTCAAACTGTATAATTTCTAATATTATAAGTTAGATCATCTTTTCAATCAAGTATATTTGATAAGATTTGAGTTAGTATCTCTTTTTTTTTACAAACGATATACTGTATATACACGTAAGCACAGCTTTTGTTTGTCGTGTGTAACGTAGAACAAAGTTTTCCCTTAAATATCAGCAATTTGAAGTGTAACAATTTCCATAATTAAGAAAGCAAAACGTGTTTTAGGAAAAATGAATAATGAGTTCTCGTCAACGTATCTTCACTCCTCGAATGGCGGCAACAATTCTTACTCGAGCGTTGATGCTCAGTCGAACAATACTGGCTACGATACTCCACAAAACATCGCCTATCATTGGGGTATGCCCGAACAGCCACCACCTTCGGCACCACCAGCGATTTCAACATCTGCAAGCACTACCCCTTCATTAAAAGGTTCTTATTCTGGTATGGAAATGAGCTATTTTCTTTCCGATGCAAAATAATCCTGTTTTTGGTTCGAGTATAGTAAATATTTAGCAATACGTGTATAGATAACAATGGCAAAGGAATTCAAAATAACAAATCTTCGACTATTGTAAACGGAATTGGTGGCAATAATCTGAACAGATCAGAATATGGTAAGTAAAAATTCATTTGTTAGATGTATGCAGTTTTCGATTAGTGGTTTTGAAATTTATTAAACGAACAGTACCTCTTTTTCAATATATTTCCCGTTGGCATAGTCGATTATACTCAACAATGCGTGCAGGCGGTAATAGCTTTATTCATAAAAGATGATGTCGGCAAATTTTGCTTATTCCGTTCGTAATCTAACATGATCAATCGTATCAAAATGTTCCTTATTTACTTAGATACTCGATATAAATTTGGAATTGATTCGCGTCTGTATTGATTATCACAACAACAATTGGCAGGGTGAACAAGAACTAATACAGTATGTGATTTCCTCACTTTTCGTACATGAAGCACTATAGTCGTTGTAACGTTTTTTTTTTAAAAAAATCTTCTCTTGATTACGGAAAAAGGTATAAACAACGTCTTCAAGGTAATTTATCTTACCTTGCAACAGTGGCTGATGGTAACTCTCGAAATGTAAGGTCTTAAATTTTATGCATGCAAAAATCATAAACTACTTTCACTGATATTTTTAAATATTACTTTTTCTGACTAGGAAATGAAGCCAAAAACAATTCCAGACTTGTCACCATTACCTATTCCACGTGGTTCACAAGGGAAAAATTTTAACAGCCTTTTTCAAAGGGCCATGCAAATATTCGCTAGTCATAAAAAATTTCGTCACACCAATAAAGAACTTACCAATGTCGCTTCTAGTCACGCGTCGCCAGACATTGAGCCATCCGCATCACCGCATCAATATAAATTAGGGTCTTCTTCAAGCAGTATTATGAGCTCATCTTCGCAGTACCAACAAGTTTACCAAAAGCAATCTTCGGCGGCGTTACAGCAACAGATTCCTCCGCAACCACCACAACAACCGCAAATGCAACAGCAACCTCAACATCCACAGCAAATGCAGCAACAAGTTCAACATTCACAGCAAATCCATCAACAACAACAGTCGCAACAACCGCCACAGCAACAACACTCACATCAGTCGCAACAAATTCATCCCCACCAACAGTCGCAACAATCATCGAACAGATATTCAAACTCAATACACCCATCGGTTACGATGGCAGCAGCTTATCAACAGCATTCATCATCTTTGCCACAAAATATGGTTGCTAATAATATTCCTGAATATTCTATGATGGCTACAACAAATCAAGAACATTCTTATCAAATGCTACCACCACTTGTTGGATGTAGTATACCGGTTAGTGGTAGTGTCAGTGCTGGAAATAGTAATAATGTGAATGGTGGGGGTAATGGACAAACAACGGGAATATTGCCATCCATAATTGGTTTAGGGGATCAGTATGGCATGTCCACACCTCAACAACAACAACAACAACAGCAGCAGCAGCAACTCCAACTGCAAAACGTTGGATTTACAGGATTTGTGGGAGGAGGGGGTGCCGGAATGACTGGAGGCACAGGATTTGGGTCCGCCAACGCATTTGGAATGATGAGGTACCCAAGTTCGGGTGGGATTATTAACAGCAGTGGGATAGTGAACAATAACACTATAGGAAGTAATACAATTGGAATTAACACTAGTTACGGTAACAATAGCATACCGGGAAGTACTTTGGGATTACCAAACATGTTGAATCATGAAAATGGTATGTGAGCACTATATCGGTTTTTTCTTTAATACCGGTTCAGTTCTGGTAAGAGATAATCTGTAATATATTTAAGACTGTTGATAATTAAAATGTAACGTTCAATTTTGTTTAGAGTTGTTAAAATGGTAATTATCTTGAAAGTGTGCAATTTTTGTTTATTTTCAAATCTTTGTGTACAATAATTAAAAATTTTTAAATGGTCATTTCTAACATTAACATAATCAGATTTGTGGGTCGAATGTAAAGTTTCATCCCAAAAGTTGTTTTATAAAAAAAAAAGTAATACTTGATAATAAAATAATCAATTGACACGCATAAAACGTCCTAATATTCTGTATATTGAAAACAAATTAATCGAATATTCATTAACCGAAATAAAACCGTAGTTCACAAAAAAAACGCGATATTAGGATCACTGATCTTCAAATTACATACTGTCAAAATATACAGCATGTTTTATATAACACTGGTTCAGCCTTACTTTATTTGCAATAATATAGTAATGGTACAACAGATTTCCCTATTATAACTATACTACTTATATCCTTTTAAATAAAGTTAAATAAAGCATGCCTCCATGAAGATTTACTTACCTTTAATCTGTTAAGGTTAGATTAATGCTGAAAGAAAACTCAAGTGATAAAAATATATTGTTTATATTATTTAGCATTATATGTATATATTGATTTTTCTTTTGTAATACTTGTAACCAAGCTAGATTATTAGTTTATTAATCAAAAATATATATACTGTAAGTATATTTTTATTTGAAAAATATGATATATGCCATAGTTAATCTTTTTTATTCAAATCTAACTAACTTATTATAGGCAATAATAGACTTTATGTTTAATTTTGAAACAATATTTTAATTTATAATAAATTTTAAATAAAGATTCATCTATTCTATATATTATTATTGACAAGTTAAAAATATTACATATTCTATCAAATTATTAAAATATAAAAATCACAAAAAAAAAATTTTTTTTGAAATAAAGAAAAAGAAAATATTTAAAAATATACAAATATACTATATGAAAAAAAAAATAAAATATAATAAATTATTATTTAAAAAAACTTTTTATTTATTAAAAATCTTTATTTTGGAAACATACTTTGTTTTAGCTTACTTTAAATAATAATAAATTAATAACTTATAATAAATTTCAGATACTCATATAACTTAATAAGTACTAAACTATATTATCTCAAATTTTTTTTTTTTTTTTTTTTATGGACTTATGCCTAACTTTATTAAATCTCAAATTACAAATTTACATTGCACAAGGCATGAATACATGAATATATATTCGGGAAGGATAAAGATAATGATAAGTTAAAGTTATTTTAAAGCTATTTCGAGGCTTATTGTCTTTTCTTTTTACAAAGAAAATCAACATTCCTAGAATGTGCTAGTGTCATAAATAAAAAATAAAAGAAATAAAAGAAAAATTGACAGTCATGTGAAATATGTCAGTTTTGTTCCTTGGCACATGCCTGTCTTGTTCTAATTCCTCATGAGAAAGTCTGAGGGAAACTTCTACTGAGTCTTTACGGAGATAAGATGAAGACCAAAGGGGAGACTATATAATTTTAAGGCTTATGGAAAGGAAGTAGCCAGGAAAGTCCAGGTGGTATATTAATGTTCATATGATTGACTTGAAAATCTCTCAGTATATTGTCAATTAAACACATTCCTATCTAAATATGAGTATACTTACCCATTTGTGCATCTTATTTCAGATTTAATTCCTTATATGAAGAATAGCACCTAGTCTTGCGATCGATATATCCTGCTGGTGGCCATTGGTACTAATGATCAATAAGAATCTTTCAGACATTTCGACCGGCTCGCATATCACTGCTGACATTTTCAGACTCAGGTTTCAATTGGTATAGTGGTGTTAATCTTTCAGTCTTCCAGCTCAGGATTTTTTGAAGATAAGATGAAAACTTCCTGGGTTACTTTATGCATAAGCTTTACCACTGAGTATCCTAAGTGGTTTCCTGCTTTCTCTGATTTAGACTTTCTGGGCAGTAGAGATTGGGACCTACCTGACATGCAATCAGAAGTAGGTGGCTTTAATCCTTAAAAGAAAATGATCTAATATCTTGTGACCTTTATCATGGTCAGATAGACTCTTTTCTATATTCAATAATGTGTCAGCGCCATGTCCTGTATCTATCTGTGCCAGACAAAATGACTTATGATGGATCCCAGGTTCTTATAGAGCTGAGGAAATATATTCAGACAAGTTAAATGGCCAATAAAAGCTTGTTTATCAATCTTGTCCAACGTATTTCATGTCAACCAACCAGAGTTGATGAGATCTGTGCTACTTGAAATTTCAGGATCAAGCTGAGGTAGGCAAAATTCCCCATAAAGCCATGAAAAAGATAGCTCTAAGAGGCCACAATACCATTCAAAGGGTAGAAAAATAAGTCCTTTGACTGGTTTTTAACCTCTACTATCTCCACCATAACTAAGAGAAGAAAGGTACTTCACTATTGATTCTTTTCCCTTTAGGAACTTTCTTGTCATGGGTAGTAAAAAGGAAAGCTAAACTTTGCAAGCCACAAGAGTTCAGTTTGTTCAAAGGAGATTGTAAACAAGAGGAAGGGGAGGTGAGAGAGTTCTGAGAGAACTTTTTGAGTTGGTTTAAGGAAAGTAGTAAGACTTTATTAGTATAGAAGTATTAAAACTTCTTGTGAATATCTTTTTTGTATGTGATCAGAGGATTAGCGAAAAGAGTTTTTGACTATATATTTCATATATTATCTCAAATAATATTTTTAGCAATCATATTTAATTAAAAAATTTTTATTGATAAATATTTTTCATTATTTAAAAAATTAAATATACTAATATTTTTTACTTATAATAATATAAATACTTTTAATTTTTCGCATAAAAAACTCTTTTCACTGATTCTCTTTTTTCTTAAAAAAAAATTTTTTTTTTTGATAATTTCTTTGAAAAAAGAGAAGTCAACAAAAAACATTACAATATTACAAACTAATAGCTAAGAAACAAACTATACAACACTCAATTATATTCAAAGAAACTCATCTATTAAGAAAAAGTTTAGAAACTACACTTTATTCTCTCTTAACTTTATTTTTACAAGAAGGAAGAAACATATCTACAAACAGATTAATAATAAGCTTAGAAGAATGCAATATCAACTTTCCAAGCTTCTAGCCAAATCAGTATTAATTTATATATTTCTAGACATTAGAAGGAACTTTATAAACTTTAGTTTCTACTAATAAATCAGAAAAAACAAAGTTTTCAAATCCCAGAAGAATATCAAAGGTTCTCAAATATTAAACAATAAAGTATTCCGATTATTCACTTTCACAATTGAAATTCAAAACAAATTATGTAAATATAAATATCACAATTTATAGTAATTATCAAAACAATATAACAAGGTTTGCTAATACTCTACAAACAAAGTAGATTAACTCTTATAACAAGAGTAAATTAATAACAAATCTGATAAATAAGCAAATTAAATAAAAAAAATTTACAACTTCTTTAATAATTAAAGTATCAAACTAGACAATAACATAACAACTCTATAATATTTTATATAAACAATATAAATAAATCAGAATAAATAAACAACAACTGAATCAACAATTTATTTTTCAGTACACATGATTTATAAAATAATAAAGGCACATAAAATCATGCAAATTGTAAAAAAAAAGAGAACTCTATATTCTAGATACAATAGTTAAAATAATTGAAAAATATGATCTAAGAAAAGAACTATGGGCTATTCAAATTATTTTCAATACCCTTATTGCACAAATCAATATATCAAATCAAATTTCAAAACTAATAGAATACTCAATACTGAAAATGATAAAGGCATATAAAATCATGCAAATTGTAAAAAAAATGAACTTTATATTTTAGATACAATATTTAAAATAATTGAAAAACATGATCTAAAAAAAGAACTATGGGCTACTCAAATTATTTTCAATATTCTTATTATGCAAATCAATATATCAAATCAAATCCCAAAACTAATAAAATACTCAATACTGAATAGTATTCTAATCAAAATCCTGAATGTAGATTCAACTATCTTCTTAAAAACTATAGTTATAAAACAACATATTCTCTATCTATGAAATTAGGACCATGAAAAGAAAGAATATCTATTAGTACCTTTCTTGAAGAAAAAATATAAAAACATTCTTATATAAAATAGTTTTATGAACAACTTTTTCAGATTATACAAACTACATGATTTAAATAAAACCCAGAAAACCCTATAATAGAAAATCAAAATATATAAGACAACTTTAACTTAAATAAAATATAGAAATTCAATTAACAGTTACAATTGAAATTCTAAATAGTCCTGAAATCGAAATGGAAGATAAAGAGTTGAAAAACAAAATTCAAATGAAAATTATACAAGAAAAGGTTAAAAGAGAAAATATAATTGATAAAATCTTTTATAACACACAAAATAGAGTCAAATTAATCAATATAAATCCATTTTACATTATAGAAAAGAACAAATGTAAAGTAGAAATACTTATATTCAATATATCAGGTAAGACAGAAAAGAAACAAACAAGTTATCTCCAAGGTATTTTAAGTATATCTAAAGATATACAGCTATTCAAAAAATACTTTTTGAATAGTAATGCCTGAATCATCTTCAACTTTAATAAAATAAAAGATTTCTACAATATATAGAAAAATTAACAATAAAAAATATGAAAACTTTATCCTAATTCCTATACAAGCAGATAAATAAGGAAATATATATTTCTTTTCAAATAAAAATTCTTTAAAAAAGAGGAAAAAAAAGAAAACAAAACTATAATCACAATATTAATTAATTTAGACTGTAGTTATACTTGTCAAGAAATTAAAGTTGCTCTTCAAAAATATAAAAAAATCCTAAGCATCAATACTTATAATTACTCTCACTCTTAAAGAAGAATCAAGCCATAATTTATATTATATCAG